AAAACAGCTGCCATTAACAAAGGACCTACTATATGCAGTGACCAAGGACTTTTCAGGTGGAGCCTTGTTCATCCTCACTGCTCTCTGAGGTAGGTACAGTAACCCCCGTTTTCAGGTGAGGAAACAAAGGCATTAAGAGACTATAGACGCCTTCAAGGACACCCAGCCTGAGAAAGCGAGGAAACCAGAGCTGTCCGCCCACTTCCCAGCCTTGGGGCAGGAACCCGCAGCCCCATCCCCGGTAATTGACTTTTCCGTGTGCTTGGAATTTCTACATTGACTGCTGGGGGAAAAAAGGTAGCACAAAAGTTGAATATGAAGATTGATGTTTTTCATTGACTTTGGCTTAAGATTTGAGGCAATTAGAAAGTCTTTTTCTTTTTGCCTTTGAAGTTTTCTCTAAATAATAAAAGAGAACTTATGTTGCTTTCTTTGTTAGGCAGAAACAAGCCCAAGTGCTTTAGGGGTGGTTTTCTATCCTCAACTATAGAGGGGGCAGTTCAGACTCCAGCAGGAGGAAAATGTGAAACCACTTTCTGTGCCTTCCCCTCAGGGCACCATGGATGATCTGCAACTAGACACACAGACATGCTGCCCGCCAGCTGCCCTATGTCCATTACTCACTACCTGCCGGGTTCTCTTTAAACAGTTTGATGTTCAATAAGTCCCCTAATCCTTACAACTCCATAACGTGTGTCTGCTGTTACCCCATTTTACAGATAAAGAAACAGAGGCACTGTGCATTTGGGTGCCAGAGATTGTGTGGGAAAGAGCTGAAAATTAGTCCCTTTTTAAAATTTTTGAAAACAGAGTCTCACTCTGTGCCCTTGGTAGAGTGCTATGGCATCATAGCTCATGGCAACCTCAAACTCCTGGGCCAAGTGATCTTCTTGCCTCAGCTTCCCAAGTAGCTGAGACTACAGGCACATACCACAACACGTGGCTAGCTTTTTCTGTTTTTAGTAGAGACGGGTGTGTCTCACTCTTGTTCAGGCTCGTGTCAAACTCTTAAGCTCAGGCTGTCTACCTGCCTCAGTCTCCTGGAGTGCTAGGATTACATCTGTGAGCCACCACGCCTGGCCTGGAAGTAGATTTTAAACAGTCCAACTCCATTCCTAAAGTTTCTAAGTCCTTGCAACAAACTCCTGGGGTTCTTATTGTCCACATTATAGTGAGGAAACTGAGGCCTGATCAGAGAGATTAAGGGTTTCTTCAGGGTCACACACTTGGTTGGTGCCTGCAAAGCCCAGAGCCTTTCCCATGCACCCCACTCTCTACCCCACTTTCAGGCCTGGGAAGTGACATTGGGCCCAGGAAAGAAAATGCTGATGGGTCTTCAGCAGATGTTTGGGGTTAGAAAATAAGACATTAAGGCTCGGCGCCTGTAGCTCAGCAGCTAGGGTGCCAGCCACATACACCAGAGCTGGCAGGTTTGAATCCAACCCGGGGCCTGCCAAACAACAATGACAACTACAACCAAAAAATAGCCAGGCGTTGTGGCGGGCACCTGTAGTCCCACCTATTTGGGAGACTGAGGCAAGAGAATCACTTAAGCCCAGGAGTTGGAGGTTGCTGTGAGCTGTGATGCTACAGCACTCTACCAAGGGTGACAAAGTGAGACTCTGTCTCAAAAAAAAAAAGAAAAGAAAAGAAGATATTAAAACCCCTGGAGTAGGAAAACACTAGGCATGATCTTGGGTTCAGTCACCCACTGGTGGGCACCTGGGCTGCTGGCAGCCAGCACCTTTATAGTAACTTGGCAGGGTTGTTTATTGGGGAGTAATATAGACAAAAGGCATAGTTTTGGTCTTACAATATGATTGGAAACTTCGAAGGCAGCTTTTTTGTGGGAAGCCCAGTAGACAGCATCTCACCCCCCTAAGTTCTATTATTGTCCAGACTCTTGGGTCTGTTGACCAGGCTGTGGTCTGGCTCCCTGTCTGGGACCCCTGCACAGGCAGCAAAGGGGAGCAGAAAGGAAGGGGTGTGGGATAAATAAGGTGCAGCATAGCCTTAAATGGGGTGTAAGCAACCATCAAAAATCATACTTTTGGTGACTATTTGATGACTTAGAAAAGCTTATGAGATCATTAAGTTATCACACATGTTGAGTCAGACCATGGGAGGAAACATACCACCTTGTTAACCACAGTTAACCCTGAGTGATGCCATTAACAGCAATGCTTCTTTTTCATGCAGCCCTTTATTTTCCGAAGTTTTGCAGCAACCATGCCTCTCTTACATAAGAATAAATGTAAAAGTGGCCAGGCACAGGGGCTCATGCCTGTAATCCTAGCACTCTGGAAGGCTGAGGTGGGAGGATCCCTCGAGCTCAGGAATTTAATACCAGCCTGAGCAAGAGCAAGACCCTGCCTCTACTAAAAATAGAAAAATGAGCTGGGCGCTGTGGTCCCAGCTACTTCGGAGGCTGAGGCAGGTGGATTGCTTGAGCTCAGGAGTTTGAGGTTGCTGTGAGCTGTGAGCCATAGCACTCTAGCCTGGGCAACAGATTGAGACTCTGTCTCCCCACCCCCTAAAGTAGTGATCCTTCTTTTCCATCCAACTCTTTATTTTCTGATGTGTTTTACAACAACCATACTTCCCTTACATGAGAACACAGGTGAAGGTAACATCTAAATGTCAGCTTAGAAGTCAGACAAACCTGGTTTAAATATCAGCTCCACAGTGCACTACTTGGTGAGCCTAACTTTTCCCTTCTGTAGAATGGGCTGATCATACCCAATTCCCCGGGTGAACCGTCTTAAAGGAGATTGCCACCCAAAGCTCCGATGTCATGCGGTTGGCTGTGCTTCGAGTGGCTGGTATTCTCCTGATGAGGCCCAGCGGGGGCACACTTGCCTCCAGTTCCTTTCTGCTGAGGCCGCCAGCAGGAGAGAAAGGTTGCATTGCAAGCGTCTTGCTGAGCGAAATGAAAACTTGTGAAACTCCTGGGTTTCTTCCTTGCTTCCTCATTTGAGAGAGCAGTTGGTCCCACTTGAGCAGGAAGAGGGCCCTCAGGACAGAAAGAGGAGGCTGTGCTCCCACGGTTTCTCCCTCCCGCCCATCTCCCCTACCGTCTTCTCTGACTTTCAGAATAGAAGTGTTCTCTGCACTTCCTAGGGAATCCAGGCTTTTTTAAAAATAACAGCTTTATTGAGATTTAATTCATATCCCATACGCTTCATTCATTTAAAGTGTAAAATTCGATGATGTTCAGTATATTCAAAAAATTTTCATCAGCTCCAAGAAAACTCCTTACCCATTAGCAGTCACTCCCCATTCCCTTCTCACCCAGGCCTAGCCAACCACTAATCCACTTTCTACCTCTATAGATTGGCGTGTTCTGGGCATTTCCTACATAAATAGAATCATGCTACATGGGGTCTGTTTCATTTTGCATGTTTTGAAGGTTCATCCATGTTGCAGTGTGTATCAGCACTTCTTTTTATTTTCAGATAAGATTCTATCGTATGATACATTTTATATATCCATTTATCGATTGATGGACATTAAGCATCTTTTGGGGTTTTAATGTTATCTGTAATATTAGATGTGATCTGTTCAGTAACTATCACGTGCCAGGCTCTTGACCTAATTTCTAATCACTATAACAGCCCAGGAGGTGTGTCTGTTTCCCCCATGATACTGATTAAGAAACTGAGATGTAGAGAAATGGCCCCACCCAAGGGCATACCAAAGACAGAGCTGGGATTAAAAAGGGTCCTTCCCACTGCACCACATTGAACCTTCCACCCCCAAGTGTTCTGTCTCCCTGCAATTGGGTCTGAAGCTAGAACAAGATTCTACTCAACCAGTGATCATTCATTCAACAACTGTGTGGACGGCAAGCACACATTAGTCAGAGCCAGGGACAGCAGACCTCACCTCCTGGAGTTTGCTGCCCAGGTGAGGAAACGTCACCAGGAAGGGTATGAGCTTCCAGAGTCTCAGACATGGTGGAGAGCCCAAAGAATGAATTTTAGAGGCATTTTGAGCAGGATCTGGCAAACATGGTGAGGAACTGGTACACACACAGACCCAGAGACTAGGAACCAAGGGATGTGTTTGTCCCTGTTGGTGGGAGGTGAGGGGGGTCAGAGAGAAGCTGGGATCATACCTGCTGGGAGCCTTGAAAGTCAGGCTGCATTCTGGGCAGAGGGGAGCCACTGAAAGCTTTCGAGCAGGGAAATGAGATCAAACCCATCCATTTCAACTCTGGTGTCCGTCTTCAGACCCAGGATCCTAGACCCCTAAAAAAGGGAAGATCTGGGCTTCAGACCTGTGCCTCCTCACATGCCCAGGCTGACACGTTGTAGGTGCTCCACAGACATCTGCTGAATGATGGAAGGATGAAAGGATGACAAACCTGCCACCAGTCCCATCCCTTCCCCACCCCCATCCATTCCTAGATTGGTTAATTGGAATAAAACAGCTGGTATGTTCCAGATCCTCCAGGTTGGCCTAACCCACCCACCCTGTCCTCCCTCACCTCTTCCTGCTGTCCTCCCCACCCTGTCCCATGCTCTCAGCCCACCAGGAGGCAGCAATATCTTTACACTTCACAATTGCCCCCAGGGGTAGAAATGATTAACTGTACTTTGCAGGTGGGGAAATTGTGACTCAGATGGTTAAGGGACTCACACAGCTGCTGAGGGGCAGAACTGACACTCCAACTGTGACCTTCTGGTTCCATCTAGTGCCTTTAGCCGGGGATGTGGAGTGAGGGAGGGGAGGGGAGGAAGAGGAGGCAGAGGAAGGGCCTCTTGGGGGAGAGAGTTTCTGAGCCCACGACCCCAAGCCCAGGAGGCAGACCCTAGTCTGAGGGCTCCTGCCCCAGCTCTGGGTGCAGCTGCCACACTAGGACGTGCAGTTAGATCCCCACCACCCCAGATATGTCCATACCCTGGGTGGGTGGGGGAAGAAAGGGACACCCTCAGAACCTCAGGCACACACACACACATACACACCAGCCCCACCGTCTAGAGAGGTGGAAACAGTAGTTGCCTTAGACACAGATGCTTTATTTTTCTATAAATCATTCCCCAAAGAAATTGTTTATAAAAGGCCCAAAGTAAATAACTATCCCCGCTCTTGAAGAGGAAAACATCCCCAAGATGTTTCATCAGAAATCCATCGGTTGGACAAGTCAGCTGGTTCCCGAGGTCCTTGGGGTGGCCTGACTCTATCACTGTTCTTAACCTCTTCTAGGACATTAGCTCCAGAAAGAACCTTCAACTGCAAAACACTCTCATTTTACAGATGGGAAAGTGATGCTCAGATCAGAAAGGGGCTGGGCCAAGGTCATCCCAGCATCTGTGGCAGAGCTGGGATGAGGCCCAGGAATGTGGCCCTCTCACCCCTGTGTCCTCACCCCCAAAGCTCACTGTGAGTTCTCTAACCAAGGCTATGCCTTAGAGGGAAAGCTGGGGCTGCTTCCAGCACCACGTGTAAACACCAGCAGTACCGCTGAGGCCATGACCACCTCACTCTTCATCTGGGAATTTACCTGGAGACAGAGAGTCCAGGCACACCCAGGTTTCAGGGTCAAACAGGCCTGAAACAAGAGTAGGTGGCCTCTTCCTCCTGCCATCACCCCCCTGGGGTCAAGGTCTGCCAAGGCCATGTGCAGGGAGCCGCTCCAGCTTCTACAAGCCTTTGCTATTGGTCTGTATGACATCAATCCACGTAGCTACTGAGATTTTCCTCTTGCTGATCAGAAGTCCTGGCTGGCAGCTAAGTAAGGTTTGCTTTTTTTAATGAGAAAATCAAGCCTATTTAATGCAAGTAAGCTGAGTAGGTAGAATCTAACTGGACTCCTCAAAAGTGGAGAAAGATAAGCAAAAGAAACATCTCCAGGGCTGAAAAGTGAGGGCTTCTGAACTATAAGACAGAGGGAGGATTCTCTTTCTTTGTTCGCCACTCCCGGTACACCAGAAAGGGGTGGACGAATGTTAGAACTGTGGCAAGTACCAGCGTCACATACACCTGCATGGGAGAGAGGAGAGAGTGAGACAAGGACCTGGGACTCTGATCAATGCCCATATCCAACGAGGGGACTAAAATTCACCCAGTTTAGATTCTGCTTTCCACCCACATGCTCTAGTGCCCTCGAGGAAGGACTTCTAGTAATTTTTCACTCTGCCCTGTACGGTGGGTGGGGGAGGAATATTATGCCCATTTCACAGGTGAAGAATCAGAGGCCTGGAAAACATTCAATGACCTGCTCAAAGTCACACGGAAAGCTGACAGCAGCGCCAGCTAGAACATTAGGTCAGGTCACCTGATTATCATAATCAAGTAATTCTTGGTTTTTAAGTTTAGTCTTTTTTTCTCTAAAGGACTAATTTAAACTCCTGTGCTATACTTTGCTGTTTTTTCTTTTTTAAATGAGGCAAACAGAGCTGTGCAGTGGTCAAAACTGAATTCAAAGTCAAAAGCTTTTCTGCTCTTGAGCTGGGTACCTGTGAATACAGAAGTCATGTGACCTTTTAGGTCTTGGTCTCCGCAAGAATCTAGAGAGTCGTGCCCACCTTCTGGGCAGAGCCCATGAGCAGCCCTCTAGGGGTGAGGATGCAGGGTGTCCTGCCCCTTGGGCCAACTGTGGAAACTGGTGGCCCTGGTAACCTTAGGGAAGAGGCCAGGGAGGGCTCTCACTACAGGCAGGAAAAGTCTCTGAAGTCTTAGGTTTATGCTTGAAATTGGGCAAGGATTTTTCATCCTACTCCAGAATATGACTTTTGTTCCCCATAAACACAAAAATATTTTCTCCCCTTGGCGGTGCCAATAGCTCAGTTGGCAGTGCACCAGCCACATACACCTAGGGTGGCAGGTTCGAACCCAGCCCGGGCCTGCTAAGCAACAATGACAATTGCAACCAAAATATAGCTGGGCAGGCACCTATAGTCCCAGCTACTTAGGAGACTGAGGCAAGATAATCGCTTAAGCGCAAGAGTTTGAGGTTGCTGTGATGCCACAGCACTCTACCCAGGGTGACAGATTTGGGTGATTTCTCCCCAAATCTGAGTAACACAGACTCTTTGGGAAGCTGTGCCGTGCCAATCCTGTGGCCTCAGGTAGCCCCAGCACAGGTCTTGGTCCTTCGGTTACCACCTGAGTTTGAGAAGCAAGACCAACTTGTGAGACTGCAGAACTGTCCCTGCAGAGACCACACCCAGGCTGGGGCAGCAGGGTTGGGGCGCCCCCTGCTGGAGTCCTGCTGAGTTGGGTTTGCCGGCACAGACCCAATAGGGATGTCCTTCCCTGCAGTACTCACATAGAAGGGGTCATTGTGGAGGGGTCCTTTGATGAGGGTGAAGATGGGGAACTGCAACAGGGATACAATGGCTGACAGCGCCATCATCAGCCCAAAGAGCTTTCCAAAGTGCTCAGAAGGGAAACTGGGGAGAGAAACAAAGGGGGCTCCAGTGAGCTTCAGGTACTCTCCCTCAAAGCAGGCACCTGGCCTCAGTGGGCCTTTATCAGCCACTTGTTCCCAACTCCCTGTCCTAAGCCTGCCCTTCACCCACCACTCCCACTCAACCCTTTCTTCTTCACCTTTGTACAGACATTTAGACCTCAGAACATAGAGCACGTGTGGAGCTGAGGAACACAGCAGGGATCCAGACACAGGCTGCACCCAGGAGGTCTTAGGAAGCAGACAGACATAAACAGAGCACTGTGTGCCAGATGACAAGGACACCATCAAAGGAACCAAGAATAGAGTACCAAGGGCACAAAAAAGGGAAGATACTTTCCAACTCTCCTCTGGGGAAGCTGGAACGGAAGTGGGCATTGGAGGATAAAGAGAAGTTCACCAGGTAGAACAAAGGCAGAGAGCACAGCAGATCCCCTCCACCAGTTTCCAACTCTGGACAGCACCGTCTCCTCACCTGATCACTTCCAGGCCCAACTCACCTCCCAAATTCTTTCCCTTCCCTTCTTCCCTCTGTCCCAGCATGTTCCCCACTGTGGCTCACACCCCAAGGCCACTTACGCGATGGTGAGGAAGGCAGCATTGCCCCCGTAGAGGAAGGAGCGGCTGATCACTTGCAAGATGAAGGTGAGGTACTGGAGGGGGAGAACAGGGACTGAGGCACAGATGGCGAAGCCAAAGCACAGCAGGGATGTCAGGGCCAGCGAGGGTACTGCAGAGCGGAGGGCCGCTGCCGAGGTGGAAGAGCCTGGTCCAACAGGGAGGAGGAGAGGCTGCTTGGAGAACAAAGCAACCAAAGGCAGGGGCGGGGCCAAGACAGGTGGGAAAATGGGGAGCCACCACCCACCCACCTATCCAGGCAGAAACCTGGGTGTCATCCTTGAGCCCTCTTTCTCCCACAGGCTCCATCTCCAGTCCATCCATAATGTTGATCATTCACCTCCTACGTACCATTCCAATGGTGTGCTCCTCTCCAACCCCACTGACTCTTCCCAGCCACCATTAACTCATTCATAGATGATTGCAACTGGCCTCCTGACAGGCTGCACACCTGCCCCCTCTAGCCTGTAGCCAGGCATTCCTCGCGTAGCATCACTGATTATAGCAAAAGACTGGGAACGATCCAAAGAGCTGTCGGTCGGTAGGGGAATGCTGCCTCAACTCTGCGGCAGCCACATAATGGAGAACCAAGCAGCAGTAAAGGGAATGAGAAGCAATCTCAGGATGGAGTCACACAGACAGCCCTGCAGAACAGCGTGCACAGGGCCTGCCTTTTATCTCAGAAAGGGGGAAATACACACACAACAAAGTGCATTAAAAAAACAAAAACAATTAAAATGGTTACCTAAAGAAGAGAGAAGGAGAGGCCACAATAAACAGAGAAGGAAACTAAACTTCTTTGAATATATCTTTTCTTTCTGTTTTACCTTTGGTAAAATGTAAATATTTGATATGTATATGTGTTGCAAATAAATTTAAATGCAAATGATAGTGGGGGGGGAAACAAGCAAAACCATTCCCCCAAATCAAAAACAAAATAAAGCAAAACCAATGAACATAACTCTATGGCAAGTTGGTAGAGTCTCAAAAACACAGTAATATGACTGGGCATCTCTTATGGGATATATCCTAAGAATGAGAAAGGAGGGGGAGGGAGGCAGGAATGACAACAATAGCATTTAGCCATTGTGTCCTTATAAGTAATATTGATATTGCTAAAACCAGTAATCATATTTAAAATGTTATATGTATGTATAGGCATGCATATATATATATACATATGTATATAGTATTGTTAAGAACCAAGATTTTCAGAGGAAGAGAAGTCAAGGAAATAAACATTTGAATGAAAATCTCTTTTATGTATGAAAAATTACATGCACCTTAACTCCTGCCAAGGCCCAGGAGCAATGAGAAACCCCAATATCCAAACTACAGTCTCTAAATAAAATTTCCCATTAAAAAGCCCCAGGCCAGTTAGATAAATGGCCAATTTCAGTGCTGAGGCAGGAAACATACCCAGGGAAATGGACCTAAACATCTCACTGTGCTAGAAAGTAAGGACACTATCTAAACTAATGGGGTTCTGTCCAAAGGACACAGATAGTGGGTTGGCAAAGACCCCACTGGCCAAAGGAGAGAAAATTTGAGCATCAAGAAGAATCATAAACAGACTGAAAGATACCAAATATACTTCATATGAGACTGTTAAGAAAGAAACAACTGGTAGTCATCCGCGGAGGTCATCAGGGCACTGACTCATTATTCTGAAACTGGTAAATAGAGTGGGAAACCGCATTTATTTCACCACACCAAAACAGCAAGGGAAAGTTTTTTCTGTCTAGAGAAATTCTAGCGATTAATAGCAGAAGATAGAAAGTCCTGGGTGGTGCCTGTGGCTCAAGGAGTAGGGCGCTGGCCCCATATACCAGAGGTGGCGGGTTCAAACCCAGCCCCGACCAAAGACTGCAAGAAAAAGAAAATCCTTCCTTTGCAACCCTAACAAAATAATAGACCTAGGCATTGATCATTTTAATAGCTAGTAAACCCATTAGGAAACTTTATAATAGATAGATGGGATTGACAATGTCTGAACCAATTGATCAGTTTTTTTGTTTGTTTGTTTTGTTTTTTGAGACAGAGCCTCAAGCTGTTGCCCTGGGTAGAGTGCCATGGCATCACAGCTCACAGCAACCTCCAACTCCTGGGCTTAAGCAATTCTCTTGCCTCAGCTTCCCAAGTAGCCGGGACTACAGGTGCCTGCCACAACACCTGGCTATTCTTTGGTTGTAGTTGTCATTGTTTTTTGGCAGGCCCGGACTGGATTTGAACCTGCCAGCTCTGGTGTATGTGGCTGGCACTTTAGCCGCTTGAGCTACAGGCGCCAAGCCCAGTTGATCAGTCTTAACATCATAAGGAGACAACAGATACCAGGGGCTGCTGATGGGAGACCAGAGGAAGCCCACAGCTCCATCTCTGAGCTATTCTTGCCAGACAATAACCAATAAATTGATAGGAGGCTGAGGCAGAAGGATTGCTTGAGGCCATGAGTTTGAGACTAGTCCAGGCAACTTAGTGGCATGCTAAGTCAAAAAAAAAAAAAAAAAGATTAAACTGAGTTTCCTCCAAGCCTCTAATCCACGTGTTTTACAGAATAACCAAAGCAGCATATTGAAGTGACACCAAAAGAAAAGAAAAGTCAAATACAAAATGTGGGAGATTTGACAGAAGAGATGACCAGTTCCTTCAACAAATCAACCAAATGTTCCATATGAACCATGTATGAATCCTAATCTGCACAAACCAATTGTAAAAAGATGTACTTAGATAATTAGAAGGATTTTTTTTTTCTGAGACATAGTCTCTCTCTATCCCCCTCCATAGACTGCTGTGGAGTAATCAGAGCTCACAGCAATCTCAAACATCTGGGTTCAAGGTATCCCCTTGCCTCAGCCTCCCCAGTAGTTGGGGCTACAGGCACTCGCCACAATGCCAAGCTCTTTCTAAAGAGGGGGTCCTCTCTTGCTCAGGTTGGTCTCAAACTCATGAGCTCAAGCAATCCACTTGCCTCAGCCTCCCAAAGTGCTAGGATTACAGGCATGAGCCACCGCACCCAGCCAGTTAGGAGGACATGAACAGTGACTGCATATTGGACAATATGAAGAAATTGTTTTTGTTTTTGTTTTTAGTGGTAATACCATGGTGATGTTCAAGTAAAAGAGGCCTCTGTTAAAGACACATACTGAAGTATTCACAGGAGAAATGATGCAAGATCTGCAATTTGCTCTGCAGTCCTCTGCCAGGGGTGTGAGGAACAATGAGGACAGGGAGTAGAGGGGGCACAGCAGACACAAGCAGGCAGGAGGCAGTCTCCACGTTTGTTCCTCCAGACGCCCCAGGGTAAGACACCTCAGCGCTGCTCCCTTTCCCAGTCAGGTCCCGGATCACGTCCAAACTCTGTGGCATTGGAAGCAGCCTCACCCCCTTACCTCTCTCTCCTGCCTCTTCCCTACCCCTCCTGGAGCACTCTGTGACCTGGCCAGCCTGAACCACCTGCCCAGACCCCTCAAATTCCCGTGTTTCATTCTCCCCCTCATTACCCTGACCCCACTTTTTTCCTGGGCCACTTTCCCAGGCTCCACCCCTCTCTCTCCTCACTTCTCACTCATCCTTCAGGTTGTGGCTAAGAGCCACTTCCTCCAGGAAGGCTTCCCTGAGACGGCCCGTCCTCACCCAGAACGGGTCCCCTTCTTTGTGTCCCCATGGCCCACTGCAGGTTGACTTCATGAACGGTAATGGCCTGACAGCCCGCCTTTCTCCATCCTCTGGCCTGAGAACAGCTTGAGCAAAAGGGCATTTCTGTCTGGCGCGCTGTTGAATTCTGCTGTCTGGCACTATGGCTAGTGCATAAGTGTCACTTGGTGACTAGTGTTTGAATGAATGAATGAGTGAGTACAAGTGGAAAGGGTTGAGAACACAAGTAAAGGTGGGCATGGGGATAAATATCTGTCTGTTCCCTCTGTCTCCGACCCCCACCCCCACCCCCGTCTCACCTGTCTCTCTCTCTTCCTTCTGGTACTTCTGTTTAAGCCTGTCCATGAGCAGGCCATTCCAGGGGGCACACAGCACTCCGAAGAACTGAGTGATGGCAAAGGCATTTGTGTAGGCACTGACTGCAGGGGGCAGAGAAGGGGAGGGTGGTGAGAAAGCCCCAGGGCCACCTTCCAGGAGAGGACTCTCCCATCCTGTGGGTGTCCTGCCCACCCCCCTCTTTCCCCTTCAGAGCCTCCCCTGGAGTCCACGGCTCTGGCCCAGGCTCCACTCAGAACCTGAGAGGGGCAGACAGGCTGCCTCTCAGCCCAGCCACATACCTGTTACCCTGTCCCCCTGGGCCAAGTTGGTCAGCACAGAGTTGAGAGTGCCGATGAAGAGGTAGTGCCACAGCTGAATCACAGACAGCCACACCAGGTGCCAGGCGAAGCGCCAAGAGAAGGCGTACCTCCAGAAAGAGCTAGGCTCCTGCTTCTCCCCTGCTCCCGCCATCTCTGATGGGGAAAGGACCCCGGCATGAATTACAAGGAGAGTGGAGGGGCAGGATAGGCCACAGCACAGAGGCCTTCACAGGTCAAGCCCTCCTTCCACCTTGTCTCCCAGAGCCAGCACCTCCCCACCCCCCTGCTTTGTCATCCTGGCCCTACCACCTTGAATGACCCTCTGTTCTCCGTCTATTGAAATCCGATCTGTCTGTCACAGCCTGGTCAATGACACTTCTTGCAGAAACACCTTCCTGATCTTTCTCAGCCAGAATGATGAAAAGAATGACAAGGAGAGGGCAAAGTCAGAGGTGAGATGGGGATGACCGGTGGGCAGCTACTGCTCTGGCTGGCTCCTCACCCCTCCCTTTCTTTTGCTACCAGCACTCTGAGTGTCCTCAGGAATTCACCCCCTGCCCTATTCCCAGTGGTGCACATGGGACTGTGGATTAACTGTTCTGTTCCCCACCTAGGGTTGACCAATTAGATCATTGTCTCTAAAGAGGCAGGTTGGCCACGATTTTAGACCGGGAGACCCCCTAGGTATCCTGCTCCTAACCCTTCCCAGAGCCTAGCAAGTTCAATCTCCCCCCTTGATTTTGTAAGTTTCCCAGAATCCCATTCTTACTTAAAAAAAAAAAAGTCCTATTGTGTATATTTAGGGTAAACAACATGATACCATGGGATCCATATAGAGAGTAGGACGGTTACTATAGTGAAGCAAATTAACATACCTTGTTTTTGTAGCAAGAGCAGTTAAAATCTACTCATTTAGTAAAAGTCCCAAATACAAGGCAATTTTACTAACTACAGTCCTCAGAAGCATTCTCCCTCGTATCTGCTGCTTTGTACTCTTTGACCTAACTCTCCCAGCTTCTCCCCTCCCCCGGCCAATCTTATTTAGACTGTAGCCAGCTGCTGCGGTTTGTTATGTTTGTAACCAAAGACCCAAAACAGATAGAGGAAGGAAAGGAGGCAGAGTTGGGACAATGACAGAGGGCAGACTCAGGAGACTGACAGAAATGGGGACAGTTAAACCAGACTGAATGCAATGGCATCATGGAAGAGGGCACGGGGGGAGGGGGGAGGCAAGTCATGGCAGGCAGACAGACTGCAGGGGTGGGGTGGGGTGGGTCAAGAAAGAGAGACCAGAAAAAAGACAAGAACAGAAAAGAGGCTGTTCCTGAACCCGCTATAAAGCGTGGGGGCTGAGAGGATCCTTTAAAGTCTTTTCTCTGCCTGACCTTTCCTGATCCTAGTCCCTGGAGGCCTGGGTTCTGAAGGAGAGACGGGCTGCCCAGCAGGACTCACCCTCCTCTGTCTGGGGCTCCCCGTCTTCCTTCTTCTCTTCCTTTGCATTCCCAGAGCACAGGCTATGGAAACAAAAGCCCCACCAGTGAGGCCAAGGACTGTGAGCTGAACCTGAGGGTCAGACTGGAGGGAATGGTGGGCTGGATCCTGAATTTCACATTTTGGAAACACCTTTTAACCACCCCGATGTCCAGGTTATAGTCCAGACCAATGAAATCAGAATGTCTGGGGGTGAGAGCCAGACTTTCTTTTGTTCATTTTTCTTTAAGATCTCCGAGTGATTCTAACATGCAGCAAAGTCTGGGAACCGCCGGGGGCGTGGAAAGAGGACAGGCCTGGGTTCAAATCCCAGCTCTGTCTCTTCTCACCAGCAGAACCATGGCTCAGACTTAACACAAACAGTAAGCCAGCAGCAAATGAATGCCCTCTTGCTAGTCCTTGTGGGGGGTCCTTTCTTCACCCTCTCTGTATCTCCACTCTCTGTAGTGGGATCTTGCAGCTCTGTTTCCCTGTGTCCTATATCTAGGCTGGCCTTGTGAACTGCTTCAGCCAAGAGAACGCAGAAGTGATGTGCTAATTCCAAGCCTACACCTCAATAAACCTTGTGCATTTTCTGCACTTTCTCTTGGAACCCTGGAACCATTGTGTGTTCAAACCCATGCCAGCCTGTTGGAGGGTGAGACCCACGTGACCCAGCCATCCCCCATCCCAGGCCAGCTGGCCCCCAGCTGACCTGCCCAATGATCAGAAGTATGAGCAAGCCCCATCAGCATCCTCCAAGTCTGGCCCTGATCAGTAGAACTAACCAGCCACCCACTGACTTGTGAGAAATAATAAATGCTTAGTGTTTTAGCCATTGAGTGTTGGGATAATTTGTCATGCAGCAATGGCTAACTGATACAGCCTGGCTCCTGTCCCCCACCCCTGTGGCAGGTGTGCTCTGCCCTGTCATCCCAGCCTATGTCAGAAAAGGGGCTTTGGCCCAGAATTGCCAGACCACAGTCCTTACCCATAGCTGTAGTTGGGGGGCAGTGGGAAGGGGATGTGCCCTCGGGGCATCAGGAACAAAGTCCGGGCCACATGCCACGTACTGCAGACTGAGAGGAAGATGAAGGAGGCCCTGAGGCTGATGCCTCGTTCGTAGAGAAGCTGCAGAAGGAGGAAGAAAGAGTCAGCATGATGCTCATACAGGAGCCCAAAGATGGAAGCAATCCAAGCACTCGTCAATGGATGAATGGCTAAAGACGATGTGTTATGTACATTCAGTGGAATATTCTCCAGCCTTAAGGAAATTATGCCTCATGCTACAACTTGGATGAACCATCAGAACACTATGCTGAGTGAAATGAGCTGGTGATGAAAGGGCGAGTATGGTATTATTCCACTCACAGGAAGTACCAGAGTAGTCAGATTCATAGAGATAGAAAACAGAGTGGTGTTTGCCAGGGGCGGGGGTGGGAGGAATGAGGAGCTAGTGTTTAATGGGTTCAGAGTTCCAATCTTATTATTATTATTATTTTGAGACAGAGTCTCACTATGTCACCCTGGGTAGAATGCTGTTCTACCCACTGAGCTAGGGGTGCCACCCAGAGACCCAACCTTATAAGATGAAAAGAGTTCTAGATGGGCAGTGCCCATAGCTCAGAGGTTACAGTGCTGGCCACATACACCAAGGCTAGTGAGTTCAAACCCAGCCTGGGCCTGCTAAACAACGACAACTACAACCAAAATATAGCTGGGCGTTGTGGCAGGTGCCTGTAGTCCTAGCTACTTGGGAGGTTGAGGCCAGAGAATTGCTTAAGTCCAAGAGTTTGAGGTCGCGGTGTGCTGCGACACCACAGCACTCTACCCAGGGTGACATAATGAGACTCTGTCTCTAAAAAAATAAGGAAAGAAAAGAGTTCTAGAGACGGACGGTGCTGATGGTTGCACAACAATGTGAACGTACTTAATACCACTGAACTGTACACTTGAAAATTGTTAAGACCTCAAAATAGCTAGAAGAATGGACTTGAAATGTTCCCAACACATAGAAATGATAAATGCTCAGGGTGATGGACACCCCAAATGCTCTGACTTGAGCATTACTCATTCTGTGCACACAACAAAAAATCATGCGTACTCCATAAATATGTACAAACACCATGTATCAATAAAAAAGTGGCTAAGATGGTAGGTTTTTTTTTTTTTTTTTT